CCCCCCCACTACCAAGACCTTGCCACAGAAACCCAATACAATTACAGTTTTGTATAAAATCAGGCAGAGATGACTGCTTTTTCAGATTGAGCAAGGCAATGAGAAGTAATACAGCCACTTCTTTCTGCTGCTGTCATAACTGCGAAAAGCTTTTGGGTTCACAACCATCCTGATCTCACACAGCTATCAGTTGTATCATCTTTAACACATCACAAATTACTGTTAGGCTGTTACTGTTAGCTAAAGCAAGCTTTGCATGTTTGAAAGCATACATTTTTTTTCCATTAGTCCAAAAAGAGATAACACATCTCCACACCACTTTTGCCTTGCTTGTACTACTAGACCATCACTGCTGTAACTCTGTAAGTGCAGGTCTTCCAAATCCTAGGTTTTCCAGCATTTTTTGCATGAAGCACATTACACAGAAATTTTAAATGCAAATAAAGTGCCAAATTTGTGCCTAGACAGAAAGTCAATTAGAACTGTATTTAAGGTAAAACTTTGAATTTTTTTTTTTTTTTACCATAAGTTCCTTTATTTTTAATTTTAATTTCACTTGCCTGTGATAAATGTGGATACAGCACTTTTTTAAAAGCTAGTAAGATTTTACCTCATCCACACCTCATGCCTTGAGCCAGGTAAAATTTCTACACACGGTAACCAGCTGTGACCAGTAAATAGTCAGGTGAAGCAAGAGATGGTATGTGTGCTCGTAACTGTAGCCAAAGGGATTGCAACACTGTAATCACACTTAATTGCCAGTGAAAGTTGCATTGCTGATGCAAGATCTAATGAAACACTCCCCTGTTGGACAGTGTTTGGTAGTCCTTCCTTTCCCGCACTAGAACATACCAAACACTTAAATGGGTCATCCCCTATGAAGTCAGACCACAAAGGCCTCGGCTGTCAGTAACCTTGGAACATCTGAGGATCCTGCAGCTCTGGCGCAGCCCCAGGCAGGCTACCACCCAGTGCCACAGTGTGCTGCTGCAGCACCACCTTTCCACAGAAGAGCAAGCTTGCCCATGTCACAGGTATTGCTAGAGGAAACCTCTTTTGTCAAAAACAACAGATACCCATCTTGCCTATTCTAAAATACAAGCCAGTAAACTATAAATTTCCCTCCTTACCAGCTGCTCAGAAAAAAACATCAGCAAGAAACAGACAAGCCACAGCACCTTGGTTTATGGTTACTTGAAACTGTTACCCATGTTCCCCAGGCTAAGAGGATGAAGGGCAGCTTCTCTGTCAGTGCTGCAGGAGATCTTTGTGCACACACACCTGGGGCTTTGTTTGAAGGACAAGAAGTGTCCGGGTTTTTTCCCAGATTCTGCTGACTGACTCACTTTTCTGCATCAGCTACATGCTGTGCAGGTAAGCAACAACAGTGGAAAGTTAAGGCCAGTAAACAGAGGAACGAGTACGCTCAACTAGGCCAGAGGTAGCACAGCATTGTCACATGGAGTTACAGAACAAAGTGACAGATGCTGAGCTCTGAAGGAAACAAGCCAGTGTTCAGAAGCACAAACAAGGACTTGGATTTGTCCAAATCAAGTTTAGTGTTCTTTGGCTCAGTGTCACAATGTCTAAGTACCTAAAATAATTCTTATACACAGGAAGTCTGAGTAGAGCACTGGTGAAGCCACATCTTGAGTGCTGGGTCCAGTTCTGGGCTCCACAGTACAAGAGACACAGACATACTGGAGATACTGTCCAACAGAAGGGCCACAAAGATGATTAAGCAACTAAAGTGTCTCTCCTGTGAGGAAAGGCTGAGAGAGCTGGGACTGTTCAGCCTGGAGAAGACAAGGCTCAGGGGGATCTCATCAATGTGTACAAATATCTGGAAGGAGGGTGTGAAGAAGGTGGAACCAGCTGCTTTTCAGTGGTGCCCAGTGACAGGACCAGAGGCAAAGGGCACAGACTGAAACCAGAGGTTCCATCCAACCTCAGCCAGTCTGTGATTCTGTGACAGCACTGATATAGAAGGTAGGAAGGATATAGTGAGCTAGCATACTTGAATATAAAATTAAGGCAGAAGAATCTACAAAACCTCAGCACAGGAGCTAGGGGATGCTTGTTAAGTGTTCCAGCTAGATGGTTTACATAGAAAAACTGCAGACACATTGTTAGCCCATGCAAAGCCAGCTTAAGAAACACTGCTGTAACTTCTATAACACTGCTTTGGCCTTGAATTTGAGAGTATTTGCCCATTTTCTTGGATTGCAGCGCAAACCCACGCCCTTAGCACAGATAAAATGTCCTATGAGATAGGACAATGTGGTGACTAATCAGTTCCATAACTATGTGGGAACCCCTCTTATCTGCTGATCTTTCAAATTGCAGTAAACTCAAATTAACATTTTAAACATTGTGTATTTCATGCAGTGGAGTTCTCTCTATTAAATTACCAATTCATTTTAGAAGCCTTTGTTTGTAGAGCCTCGGGGTAAGGAAAGTTTTCAGTCAAGGTGAATGCATAATTGGGCAAGTCTGGCATTCAGTATCAGTTTTGGACTTGCTCTGTGCTTCAGCCCTATTAAACTCACCTGTGGTATCCCTATGCAGTTCAGACAATATTTTCCAGCTTTATTCTTCCATGGAATTAAGCTGCCAAACCTGTCATCTACCATCATGTTCATCACCATTCATCAGTAGCTTGTGAATACACTTGGAAACATGAGAATAGCTCCAGTCACTATGGACAACAGTAAGGTACAGCTTAACTATTAAAGCACAATTGTAGCGATTTACTCAGTATCTTATCCACCAAAGGGATACAGCTGCTAGTAAGACGTCTGCTGTACAGCACCTCCATGAACCTTAGTAAGTTTTAATCTGCATCTGCAGCCCTTTTCAAACTGTCTGGACTAACCTTCCAGCTTGTACACAAAAGGTATTAAAACAATTCTGCTACACGCTAGTTAAGCTAATGTATTGTAAATGTATTGTATAGTTAAGCTAATATAATGTAAAAATGGTGAAATAACGTATGAGACTGAACAGACTTTTCTTACAAGACAGACAGAGCAAGGATAGAATACAGCCCCTGTGAATGCTGGGTGAGATTAGAGAGCCAAGGAAGCAGCAGAACAGAGATTTTCTGGATCAGTGTTTCAGATTCAATCACCTTGGCAGAGAGAGCTCCAACCCAGCAGATGAGCAGAAGTTAAGAGCAAGTCTTCCTTTCTCTTGCTCCCGAAATCTCCAGTTCCCCACCCTGGTGGGAGAAAGTGTCTGCAAGAGTCAGTAAGGACAAGGACACAGTTCAAAAACACCCAGCCAGCCTCTGCCCAACAGGACTTTGCATATGAAGCTAGTGTTGAATACATGGCACAGTAGAATATCAAAGGCAGTTTACTACTCAATGTCCTGTACTGTATTTCTAGCCTAAGATCTGCAGCTGGAGTGACAGCAGAAAACTACACAGAACTGCTTACCTGCAGAGGCCAGTGTCCTCAGTTCTGCTAGAAGCAAGGCAAGCTCCTTAAGAAGCCTGCTGCTACAGTTTCCTAGAGCGTTAATCTTGTGTGATTAATTGGATAGGGAAGCAGTTTTTGAACTAAAGCTCTCAAGAGCTTTAAGAGAGCTTATGGAGACAAGCAGGACAGCCTCTCAGAGACCAGGAACATTGCTGGCTTGTCAGTCACCAGCAAGGTGAAACCACTAGTAATTAACAGAAATGTTTATAACACTCAATTCAAACACCCCTTGCGAAATGGAGCAGGAGTGCTTCTTCATTCATCCAAAGTCAACACATTTTGCTGTTTAACAGATCTTTAATATCAGAAATGTGGGAAGTGACATCTCAGTGCACAATAGCACAGAGACTACAGTTTTGGAGGTTCTCCCATTTCAGACACAGAAAGGAGACATGAGGAAGAACATGCAACGAAACAATGATCAGCTCTAGATACATCATGAGGTTTGGTCCAAAAAAACATTGAAACAATTAATCCAATTACTGCAAACATAGCTTCTCTGAGTAAGGTTAAGATATTGCATTTGTAGTGTTTCCATTGTGCTTTCCTTCAGCGAACCAGCGGAGCCTGCTTGAGTGAGATGAGGACTGAACGCATGCGGGACACATCTTTTGCCTGCTTACTAGACTTGGGATTAAAGTCACAGAGCTGAGCCACACGTTCCCACTCAGTGCCCGGAAAAATGTCTTCTGCATCATTCACAAAGGCTTCTTCAGCTGCCCTAAAAGCAATGTAATGCACCTTGTGTTAATGCCCAACATATAAGGCACTCCTTCCCTCTTAACAGGATGCAGTTTCTTTCAGCATGTTTCATAAGAAATATGACCTGACAGCTGCTTGTGGACATTATGGCTACTTAAGCTCCCACTGCCCCAACCCTGGAGATGAAAGTAGGTTGCAGTAGTATGCTATGCACAAGCAGTGCAGAGGATTGCTGTGTAAAATGTTGGAATACAGGTGTTTGGTTTTAAGAACAGTTATTGAGTCTTTACCTAAGGAGTCACCCCACAAACTGCCAGGACGTAAGGTGCTCCTATGTAAGCATTTTGTTTACGGAGAAATGCCCAAGTCTTAACTAGTTAAGCGTCTGCCACTTGATGGCTTGTATCAGACACTTGCCAACTGGAAATTTACAACTCCCTACAAGCACATCTTAAAAGATTCCATTTGAGGATTTAAATCAGCCCCAAGGCCTACAGGCCATCATAAAACTATCTGCTGATAATTCCCAATGCTGTAGTGAAGCAGCATGAATCCAAAGGAATTTAAGTCATGAATCCCATACTTGTGAATGCTATAGACTAAAGCATATCTTGGCAGAGGGGATGACTCATCTGAAGTCAACATACAGGATAAATACATTTCCCCTGCTCTTACCCTAAGGAGACCCTAAAGAGGCTTTTTACATTATGTACAGATTAGTGCCAGTGGCTTCCCAGCTGTATCCTTTTGGCATTGCTATGCTGCCAACAGCATTGCTTCAATGCATGGATAACACTCCAGCATCTAGTTTATATGAACTGTGGGGCCCTGGTAGCTGCCTGAGTGCAAGAGCAGTAAGCATCAAGAGATCAAACCAAATCCATCTACTCCAACAAGCAGTACAGAAAAAGCAGTGAAGATGACTCTCCCATGAGGGTTCAGCACTGTTCACAGGGATGATAAGGTTACAGACACCACTGAAGACAAGGGTCACTACAACACTGCTACTTTATGTGACATGACACTTTTAAGGGGCAGTGAAGATTTTTTTACTTAACTGTTCTAGGCTGTAGCAAGGATGATTTATGTTTGTGCTTAAAGGTGAAGAGAAGAAAAGAAACGAGAGAAAGTTTAAGTCAGATATAGAAAATGAGAATGAATTTAATGCAGATGATCAGCTGGCTGAACATGCACTAGTAGCTTAGCCTACATTCAGGAAACAGGCTGCCAATTTTATTCTGCAGCACTTATACTGCACATTTGCATTGGATATACGAAAGTAAGAGTTTTATTGGAAAAAATCTATCAATTCCAGGAGACTTCAGGAAAGTCAAACACCACCTGTAAATCCATCATTTCACAAGTCTTGGTTTACATCCACCTACAGTTAAGTAATGAATTCCACACTGGACCTTCAGTATTAATGCACCCAAAGCCACACCATGGCTCACCAATACACCTTCTAAAGGTGTCACTTTAGAATCTGTGACATGGCCATCTTTCAATTCAAGTCTACAAATTAAGGAAAGAAATTAAAACACATGAACAAGCCAATGAACATTGCAATCCTTCCACCCCATGGAAACTAGCATATTCATCGGGGCTTGAAAGTCATGGCTGTATTCTCATTGATCCATTAAGCTGACAAAATGCCTACACAAAGCTGCTCTTGAATGTTCTCCTAGCAGCTAATGCTGATTTTTCAATACCACCTTCTTGTACTTTTCATTTGTTCTCTAATAGCATCCTAATTCTATATGCATGCACCTCTTCTACCCTGATTTACAGCAGGTGATTCCTTTTCACCTTCCTTGGCTTGCAGAGCTTTATGTGCAAGCATTGCTTGAATACTTTTCTGGTTATGTAGGCAAATGAGCACAGCTATTACAGAAAACATGAAGTTGAGCATTGTGCTTCTCTGTGTAAGTGACTAGGACTAAATACAGCACCCATGTGACACTGCACATACTCAGCAAAGCATCTTGCTAAGCAGTGTTCACTGGCCTGGAAACAACTGTAAACCCCTACCTCTAAAGACTAATGAAGTCATTACCAAAATTTCAGTGGTATGTATACACGACTTAATCTGAAATTGCTGGATGTTGTGCAGTGTATGGGATCCTCACAGGAAAACTGCACTTAATAGTGCAGACCAGAATCAGTCCAAAAATTAAAGGCTATTTACTTACATTAGCTTATACTGCCCTGAAATATTCAGAAGTCACCTTCAGACATTCAGCACGATTTCTGATCCTCCTTATTACCTAGCTGACTAGCAAACAGAATTAGTAGTTAAGCAACATACACATAACCAATCACGTCAGCGAAGGGTTGTTTGTAGAAAGCTTCATCTGCCACCCTAGGTAGCAAGTAGTCCAACAGGCAGGCAAGCAGGCAGGAGAAAAGAGATAAGGATGAGAAGTACGAACACAGCTGAAGGCAGTTTTAAAAAGCACATTAACCTTGTATCACCTAGACTTACTGTAACAGGAAAGCAGCTACCACGTGGAATGTATCAGTTAAGCCACTGACTCAGAGGGTCAATACAAAAGCTCTGCTACATCCTAGCAGTTGGGATCAGCTAGTCAAGAACTAGAGTCCCAGTGATAGCATTAGGCTACCTCCAGTGGGCAGAAATTACCATTAGGGGAGAGGTCTCACCAGGCTGATGAGGCTGCCAAACACTCCTCCTGTGCAACACCTGTTAAATGGACCCTGCTCCAGAATGCACACCCTGTACTCAAACATTGGCCACAATAAAGCTATGGGAGTATTATGAGCTCTAGCCACCAACTAGAAAAGTGCCAATCTTGTTTTCCTTTCTTGGCCCAACCAAAAGACTCTACCTCAGTCAACAGAAGTGTCAAATCCATGATTTTGTAGGAAGTACAGGCCTCTTTTCTTCCTTTAGTAAGTAGAGTCTACTTAAGGCTCTACTTACTCAAGACAAATCTGCTGGCCATTTTTATATGAAAAATGGTATTTCAAAAAAACCAGTTCATCTTGAAGTCTATGCATTCCCAAAGTATAAAGCAGCCCTGATGATCACCTGAACAGAATGACACTGACAACCCTAGGTCAGAAGCAGAGATCTAAGTGGTATTAAGTCAGTACTATCATATTTACCTTTATGTAGCTTGAAGTCAAGATTCCACAGGGAACCTCTAAGAAAGTGCAAGAGCTTACTAGACTAGCAGCCATGTCATTAGTTTCTGCCCTAGGGCCCATAATTACACAACTGAAACCGAAAGACACAGTCAGCATTTAGTTCTTCACTAGCAGAACTGAGTCAGGTTATTTCTCAAATGCTTCCAAAAGGAGCAGCCAAAGTTTTTAAGATATATAATGAAATAACTTGTAGCAAAGACTAACTAGAAGGTCATTTCCATGTGTTCTAAAGATAGCAAGTAAGATTGCTAGTTTCAAGGTAAGTAACTACAGTCACTGAAGACCTGTGCAGCTAGTAGCATGGAAACAAGTGGAAAGAATAAAACTTTCTCTGGCCACGTTCAAACTTTGTGTCTTAAGGAATCTTCAGGAATTCTGGTTCATTACCTTAATGCTTTCTCTTGCTATTCTTGGACATTTAATCTAGATTCTAAGGAAACTTAGAAAGATAGTCTACCACTGGAGACCCATTTCTTAGTAGGAGGGGTTACTTTCATGACCTGAAGGACTAGTACCTTAGGACATACTAGAATTATTCTAACCTCTCTCCCCCATTACTGACATATCCAGTACCATAACTCTTCAGATGGCTAGGGCTGGAGAAACCTTACCTGTTGCTTGCTTTTGTTTTCTGGAGCTTTTCATCTTGCCTTGCATACCACTCCTCCAACTCCTTTATTGCTTTCTCTTTCCATTCTGCTTCCTGCTTTCGTGAGTTTGCATCTGCAGTTTTAATAATTGATTTGTCAGTCATGTTTGTTCCGGCTGGATCTTGCTAAGATTTCAGCTGATGGCTTGGGTTGCACTCAAGTGCAGATAGTTGCTTGATCGACTCAGATGAGGGTTAGGAGCTTTCCTGATTTAGGCCATGAGAACTCTAAATACCATGAACATTCAGAGGATCAGCTAAACAGAATGCCTGCACTGCATAACTGGGACAGTCCACTACTGTTTAGGGTAGACATTTGTAGACTAATTCAGATTCAGTAAGCCTGCAAACTGTTCAAAAATAGGAACAGTCACTTTGCTATGCTAGGGCTAGAACAAAGCTCAGTAAAGCTTCTGTCCTTAGACAAAGTGAGGGAGTCTAGCACTCAGCATGCTTTTACACCCAGCCTACAATTCAGGACAAGCTTATCCACTGTAACTAGCCCAGAAGAGGGGCAACAGGCTCAGCCATACGCAGAATCACGTTGTACAGAAGGTTCTGTCCTAACAATTTCAAACAAACCCCCTTCTGTAATGTAAGTGGAAAGCATACCATCTTGTAGGCTCTTAGAAGCTATCCACACGTAGGTATCACTGCATTTGATAGCTGTATTTAGTTTAGTTACCAGTCCATTACTTAACTTAGCTCTAGTGTGACAACAGATGGCCTCTGCAATTACCAAATGAGCAATCTTTATCCTTTGAAAAAACTGCTGATGGATGCAGTATTTATTCACTCTTTTCTGCTGAGAAAAGCTGTTCTGTCAGCTTATTTGTAAGTAAAGGGCAGGCCACATGAATACTCTTAAGGTTCAGAGAGCCGCTTGCTGACTCCTACACCAGTATTAAGTCTGCTTGCTGGAAGACTTATCCAGACTTGCTGCTCAAACTCAATCATTTTAAGATTCCCAAGAGCTAGAAGCTATGCTTGAGAATTCTGAGGCTTAAGAAACTGCCACTAAGTTACTCACAAGCAAGAACACTCCTGCAACAAACACACTCCTTACCAAGTTGCTCCAGGCGCTCCTTTTGCTCCTCTCTCCACTTACGAATACTCTCCGGTTCTGACTGCAGTCGATCTACTTGGGATATGGCAGCATAGGAATCTGTTGGACCATTACTCTCCTTAAAGGGAAGGAATAGTAATGTCATTTATACATGACAACAGAATATTTCAGATAACTGCCTGCAAGCTACATAAAGTTAGAGTCTATTTGAACTGACCACATAACATTCATCTGATGTTATACCACATTTCCATCATTAACATGAAAAACATCGTGCCACAAATTAGAGCAGGATTGAAGCAAATTAATACAGGATTGCCTCTAGCAATCAGGGATCAAACAAATTCAAGTTGACTGGCAAGTCAGCTGTGCCAGAGCTCTGTGTCTGAAGAAAGCAGAAGACAATGCCTAGCACCTTGCTATGCAGTTGTAGGCCTACAGATCCCCCAAGTTCACTTCACTTTAAATATTCGCTGTGAAAGTCTTTTTTACAGCTTTGTGCATTGGAGTTAAAAATGTTCTCTAACTTATTTGCCTACTTCAGAGACATTTGCAAACTTAGCTGATATTAGAAACCAATGTCCTTTAAAGACATTACAGATTTTGAATTGCTGTATGCAGCTTAGAACACAAGAGGCATTTCAATATTTAAGCATCAAAACAGTGTGAGTACTAGCATACTTTTTACTATACAATAGCTCAAAGACTTGCAATGAATAGGGCTATCATAATACACCTGATTTGCAAACCTAATGACTATTATGCTATTTGCCACGGAAGATATTCACAAGTCCAACAGCTTTTATTGGTCACCCTACTCTTAGCATACTTAAGAAATACCACTCCTGACAGTGCCAGATGGATTGCAGCTAATGACAGACTTGGCTGTGTCTTGCCCCTCTTCAGGCCTCCTGTAGCCCTCAGTGAAAAAATAATGCAAAGAGAAGGAGCTAGGCTGGTGCAACAGCACCAGGCTTCACATTCAATCGAAAACAAAATGAACTGGCCAGTTGCAGGGCCAAACTAGTTACAGGTAGCTAAAACAAAAGTTACATATAGGCTGTTCAGTCTGTTCTTCTTCATTAAGAGGAAGCTCTATCAACCAAAGCAGCTGGTCACTTAGAATTGTAAACACAAAATCAAGATATTTCATCTACCTTCTCTTGTATAAGGAAGCACAAAGGGCCAGTAAGATACAGTTTTCCCACCAATCTCACAGCAATGGTGTTTAATATAAAAATGTTAGCAGCAGTGAAAACTGTTTGCATCTCCACAAAGCTCAGTGTTGATTTAAAACTCTATGGAGAAGTAGCTCATATGCTGCCCTCTTCCAAACCATTCATTTAACCAGGGCTAACTAGCCAACTGATACCAGGCAATGACAATGTCTTAGCCAAACTGGTATGAAATTTGGTTACAGCACAGTGATTGCCTTAGCATGCCTCATTCTTCCCTAATAAAGAAAGTCTCTCCTCTTTTTGTCATTACCATGGCTGACTAACATGCTTTCATATTATGATTGAGCTTTTTAGCCAGCAGCTTAATTCCATGCAATTTTATGTCATCAAGAAGTGTATAATGTTTTAGTCAGCTTCTTGTATGCCCAGTCTTGATAAGACAACCGGCACACACTAATAACCCTTAAAGAGCAAGCAATTCAGAAAACTCTGCTTTAAACTAGATAGTCAAAGAGTATGCTTTCAGCTTACTAGCCAGTGGCAAGTCAATGTTAAGTCATACCACAGAGCCTGTCAGTCTGCTTACAGTGGTTATGTCCTATTAAGCCGTAATTCAAAATGGACCACTGCTTTAAGTTGCCTCTAAATTCAGAGGAGGGGCATATTAAGAGCATTAACAGCTTTATGAGATGAACTATCCAAATAGAAGTTCCTCTTCAGAGATGAGATGAAAGTACATTAGAAACAAGAAATGGGAACTATTAGTCTAGATTAAGATTAAATTCTCAGAGTAGAACAGCACATTCTAAGCACAGAATACTTCTATCTTACCTGATAGATATCTCCATTAACCACTCCATCAACAGCACCTGTAAAGAAGTGACTGCAGTTTAGCCATTTGAGAAAAGACAGAACAGCCAGATTTATCGATTTCAGTAACTTGTATGGAAAGCTTTACTAGACTACCTAATGTGGGAGTTACATAAATGACTGTTACTTGATACCCTGTAGGGTCAACTTCCTTATCTCTGCACTTTTCCGGACAGGCACAAGAAACCAACTGAGCCATTACTCTGAAGAACCAGTAATACAAGGTCATTTCTTCATTATGGGATCATGCTTCAGACTACATGAACAGCAGAGCCGATACTGCTGAGAAGTTGCTACAGTGTTCTAAAGTCGCTCATATTTTCTCCTCCCTTAGAAGCTGACTGATAGATAACTGTTCAGGAGTGTGACTCACTGTTTTAGTTTGTACCTGGAAGATTAACAATCCTGCAGCCAACATTTAGTAATTCTTAATTTAATTTGGTTACCTCCTAATTCCTAATCAGCTCAAAAGATACCAAAACATTCCTAGCAAAGTCACCATTCTGCTACCTTCTGCGACTACATGTTTGATAGCTTCCTACTTCAGCTGGAACATTTTTACCTCTGAAGTGACACTGGCAGTAGAACCTCAGGAACAGGATCAGCTGGGAATCTTTGCCACAGAACCCCAAAATTCCACCTTAAAAATGCAGCCTTAGGGAACATACACCAGTTATGAGACAAACATGGGGGTGTGTGAAACTATTTAAATTTCCACACTATGCAAAACATGCCAAGACTTTAAAGAACTGCTAAATCTCAGGAAGGCATCTCTCTGGAACAGTGGTATGTAATATATGCCTGCGTGATATAAACAAGTCATGTTACTACCTTTGTCTCATCCACACCTTATGATAAGCTGGCGGTTCATGGCCTAGATGGGTGTACTCTTTGCTGGGTAAAAAAATGGCTGGATGGCCGAGTCCAGAGAGTCGTGGTGAATGGAATGAAATCCCATTGGCAGCCAGTCACAAGCGGTGTCCCCGGGGGCTCAGTTCTAGGGCCAGTCTTGTTTAATATCTTTATCAATGACCTGGACGAGGGGATCGAGTGCACCCTCAGTAAATTTGCAGACGATACCAAACAGGGTGGGAGTGTCAATCTGCTGAAGGGGAGGAGGGCTCTGCAGAGGGACCTGGACAGGCTGGATTGATGGGCCGAGGCCAACTGTGTGAGGTTCAACAAGGCCAAGTGCCGGGTCCTGCACTTGGGTCACAACAACCCCATGCAACGCCACAGGCTTGGGGAAGAGTGGTTGGAAAGATGACTGGCAGAAAAAGATCTTGGGGTAATGGTTGACAGCCAGCTGAATATGAGCCAGCAGTGTGCCCAGGTGGCCAAGAAGGCCAATGGCATCCTGGCTTGTATCAGGAATAGTGTGGCCAGCAGGAGTAGGGGAGTGATCGTGCCCCTGTACTGAGTGCTGGGAGGCCACACCTTGAATCCTGTGTTCAGTTTTGGGCCCCTCACTACAGGAAAGATGTTGCCTTGCTGGAACATGTCCAGAGGAGAGCCACAAAGCTGGTGAGGGGTCTGGAGCATGAGTCTTATGAGGAGCAGCTGAGGGAACTGGGGTTGTTTAGCCTGGAAAAAGGGAGGCTGAGGAGAGACCTTATCGCCCTCTACAACTGCCTGAAAGGAGGCTGTAGTGAGGTGGGGGTCGGCCTCTTCTCCCAGGTAACGGGCAATAGGATGAGGGGAAATGGCCTGAAGTTGTGCCAGGGGAGGTTTAGTTTGTGCATTAGGAAAAATATTTTTCACTGAAAGAGTTGTCAGGCATTGGAACAGGCTGCCCAGGGAAGTGGTACCTCCATCGCTGGACGTATTTAAAAGAAGGGTAGATGAGGTGCTTATGGACACGGTTTAGTGGTGGGATGGCAGTGTTATGTTAACAAGTTGGACTTGATGATCTTAAAGGTCTTTTCCAACCTAGACGATTCTATGATTCTTTGATAAACTTACCACACAGAAGCGTTTCCACCAAGTTAATGCACTGTTCAATGAAAGAAGAGACTGTACCAAAGTCACCCAATAGTAGGCAGAAAATCAAGTTATTTTGCACCACCTTTTTAAATGGGATGGTTAATTCACCTAAAACTAAGAGCACCCTCTTAGTATGCTATTTTTCTTTGTGGCTATGTATGCCCTAGTTTCACGCTAGTATTAGTGGCACACAGGCATACTCCTTTATCAGGGACCTAGGCGAGTATAATGAAGTCCTTATCCCTGAGCCCTGAATAGCAATCATTAACTGTATTGGGTAGAGGACTGTAAAGTCATCAATTCAAACATGGTATTTAAGTTGGAAGATAATACTCTCCAAGAACATAGTTACTAACTTCAGTAGGGGAAGACTCAAGTTATCAAAAACTAGTTTTTCAGGAACGAGAACCTAGTATTTTATAGCTGGGCTCCTATACCTGAAAGATGGTAGCTACTCCACCTGATCGGTACTCCTGTGCAAGTTACAGGAACTAAAAAGAACCAGCGTGAGAGGCACATCAAGCTAACAGCATCTGTCTGCTTCACAGCAGCTACCTTGCACATCACTTCACATTGATCTGGAAGCTCCCTCAAAGCAGATTTGTAGACATCACTGCCCATACACTGACTTGGGCAGTCACAGCTACAATTAACAGTTCTACTGAACAGGTTTATGAAGACTAAAGCCCACAAAGAAAACATGCTTACACTTCACTCTCCTTCAGTTTAAGCCCATCTGCACCACACGGGCATGCTGTGGCTGTTCACCTTGTGCTGACAGGGCTGGAATTAAAGCTAAGCCAGGGTCTGTAACTCAAACTGACATGAACAGCTTGAATAAGCCAGCTGCCCACTCTGCCTCCCTTGGAAGAGCAGAGAGCAATTCACACATTCAGACAATCAAACTGGAGACAACAAGTTCATTGCCACAATATCCAAGAGAGGCTAGCCTTTAAATGAATGTAATTCTGATCTCTGGAAGGCAGTTGTTTCATGAGACACACCTTGGAAAGCACTGAATCACCAAGC